AAAACAAGTGAGCAGCTTCAAAAACCTCTATGATGAAAAGTGTGCAAACTGTAATCTTACATTCTTTCGCGAAAGCCAAAGCGCAGGTCGCGAAAGGTTCGCGAAAGCCCCGCGAAAGAACCCCAGAAGAACAGCGTCGCGAAAGCTTTCGCGAAAGTCGAATTTCTTGTGCATGTCGTGTTGTTTATGTGGGTGACCGTATTTTTATGCAGGCAGCCGCAGCAGGCCAGCCAGCCAGCCAGCCAGCCAGCCGCAGCAGACCAGCCAGCCGCAGCAGACCAGCCACCAGCAGCAGCAGCAGCAGCACTGAAGAGCAAGTGTTTCAGGGGAAAATCGAAAAGCCCAGACGAATTTCAGCGAAAGCCTCGCGAAAGAACCGCTCAAGTTGAAAATATCCGGGAAAGGTATCTGGCCCCAGCAAAAAGTTTCAGCAAGTTTTCCTCCTCTTCTGATGACAAAAATAATACTTGAACGGTGCTGCTACAACTCCTTGTGCCAGGATGTTGCCGGAAAGATTTTTTTCAGCTTTGACCACCCTAAGGACACTTATATCGGATAACTTATGTAGATCAATCACTTTATTGTACAATATCCCAATCGAATTTCCCAATCGAAAACGAATCGCCGCGAAAGCCGCCGCGAAAGCCCCACATAACACCACACCTTCCGCGAAAGCCAGAATGCAGGCCGCGAAAGCTCTGCGAAAGCAAACCTGGATTATACAAAAAAGTAATAGGGGTTTTCGAAGCTGCTCAAGTTGCCCGCTACCATGAACTTTTCAGGGACCAACGGCAGATGGAAGCAACCGTCCCGAGGAGCAAAAGAGATTTCAAATCCCTTGCCAGCATCGCTTTTCCATGCGTTGAACCAGGATGAGAGGAAATCTGGTGCAATTGAGCCGGGCGCCGAATGTGCTGATTCAGGGGAACCAGAGATTTCATGGGAGCAAAGCATTGGCTTATGATGATCATGGTTGACCCAGGTGTACATCTTCGCGGGCTTTGTTGCATGGTCTGCCCCAACAGTCAACCATTGAGGCATCCATTTTTGTACAGACGAAATGGCATGTGTTTGTGACACCCTGTCTGAAAATCACGAACACGTTTGCTACCTAACTGATAGTGTTGCAAGGTGCGGGTCATTGCTGGAGTCACTGGCCCTGAGATTGACTTCAATGAAATTGAAATTGCGGGTTCTTGGACCGTCCCATTGCACTTTCACATATGATTACCTGAAGGTGGCACATTGCAAACTAGCTCATTCAGAAAGATGCTGTTTGTTTTGATTGAAGGACTCAGCTCCAAACTGGGTCTCCATCGCCCAATGAAGACATTGAGGTCAGAGATCGCACAGCAAACGGCATGACAAGATCTGGTGTGCAGCATGTTCATGCCAGGCTCTTGGAGATCGCGATTTATTGGGAGGATCCTCAATTCCCGACTATATTGGTACATTGTGTTTTGCAGAAACGGGATTGGGACTATCCCACCGGCAGGATACAGGGGTGGCTGCTTGTTGTCATTTTGCAGAGGCCCGCTTTGCAGTTTGTACTTGCAGAACATTTGGCATTCATAACATTTGGCTTTTTGGGTTGTGAAGTTGTTGTCGCTGCTCCCTCCAAGCAGGATTCATGGCTGCACCTTTGCATTCCGCACATGCTGAGCGTTGCCGCCGATGTGGCAACTCCTATGAGGAGCAGACCCAGCCTAGGCCTACTAGGTCAAATCTAGAACATTCCAACGTTTGCAATGATACCCAAACACCCACAGTAGATATGTCTGAGTAGTTCCGATTTGTTGCACTTCGGATCATATACAATGCGAGGTATGAGTGCCTCAGACTCTACGCATACACAGTGTTTGGTCTTCAAGTTTGGAGGAGCATTTGGAGCTCGAGGAAGATGCAGCAAAGGCTGAGGAGTTCGATTTCCTTCAAATTTGCTGTTTTTGGGGTAGGGTAGGACGTTAGGCCGTGAAGTGAGAGAAGGGTGGCCGGAAATATCCGGAAATAGCTAAGTAGTCTAGCAGCCTAGCAGTATGTGTATATATTATATATTATATATTATATATTGTAAAGGTAGCAAGAAAGCTATTAGATGCAAGGACGCAAGAGAGCTCAGTTTACTTCTCCCACCTGAGGGAGGGAGAAGCTTCTTTGAACGACTTTTTTCATGGTCGAAGCGGTTGTGAGAATTTTGGTGAAGTTGAGGTTTTGGCTTTAGGCTGCAGGCTTTCGACTGAACCTTTCTGCCCACCTGTCCATCTTCGATTTCTTTGTCGCTTCAAGTGGATTGAACAGGAGGCACCTTCAGAGCCTGTAAACCAGACGCAAGGCACGCGTGCTTTAATACAAAATTAGGAGTGTGGCTGTGTTGCTCCTACGCCTGAACAGGTGAAGCAACTGAGAAAGAACCCAGCGAAGCTTAACTCAGCTTGAGATAACGCATGTAGGCTTTGCATGGTCAACTGGCTTCTCTGACTTGAGCCACGTGAGCACTCTTTTCCTTGAGGAACTTGAAGAAGCCGATGAAAAGAGCGGTACTGCCAGCATCGCTGAAAGCCCTACAGAGGAGACACTCGGAGTTCTTTTGCTTTGAGGGCATGCTGTATGCTGGACTGCTAGACCTGGATGGATGAGTGCAACAGGATGAAAAGGAGGGTCCCGATGCAGACGGACAGTCAGATAGAGTGTCTTAGCAGCAGTCAACAGATATCTGCTCCAAACAGTTGCACGCCAGCAGAAGGCCTCCGAAGACCTCGACCATGTGGAGGGCTTGCAGGCATACTAAACGAGCTGAAGAAATTCTTTGCCAGGCATCGCGCTTATGTCATGCCCGATTTAGATCATTTCCAGGGTCCTTGTGAACATGCTGATGCTGAGCATGCTTGGGAAGACTTCCTACATGCAGATGAAGGTACGATTTGGATTGATTGTAGTGCTGTTTGCCGCTGCTTGACAAACTAGGAGAAGAGGATGTAGAGGAGGCTTGGGCGCTGACGCAGCCCAATCACGTCAAAGCCATGTGTATGGCAGCTACAGCAGTCAACGCAACTGACCAGGCCAAAGAACCAGCTGAGACTCTTGCGACTGTGGAGGTGCCTTCTTGACTTTCAAGTAAAGAAACTATCCAGCATGGAAATGGACAATCCACTGTTCTCAGGAATTTCTTGTTGCAACTGCGACAGAAATTCGTTCTGCGCCGTCATTTTTTTGCGCCCTCCATAGGCGGGGACTTCCAATCTGTTGTAGTGTGGTCCTTCTCAAACGTCCCTTCCTCCAAATTTGAGGCAATCTGGAACTGGGCGCAGCTGTGAGCGGCCGCACTCTGCTTGCACTAGATTCACTAGATTCGGCATCGCTACTAGTAACAAGAAGCTACTACTAGCTCCTGGCATCGCTACTAGTAACAGAGGGCATCACTACTAGGAGCAAGGACGCTACTCCCTCAATGTTTGGTCCAGGCTTGCACAACGACTGGCTGAATTTATGCGAGCCGAGAGAAACTGACACCGACTCCAACAAGTGGGTTTGGCTCTGGAATCTAGAACGCAGAGGAGAGAATGTTTCCTGTGATCTAGAGCAGAGTGAGAGAGCAGCTTTGCGCGCTCAACAAGCAGTTGGTGGCATCGCCTACCAAACTTTCCAGACACTGCCTTTGTACTCTAGACCTTCCAGGTCATCCATTCTTGAAGATTCAAGACTTCCGCCTGGAGTAAGTGTGACAGGATTCCCTGCCCAGCACTGGATTCGCCTGGCGCCAAGCAACGGGCTGGACTTCGTGTCGCACTGGGTCTTCCAGCATCCATTGGATGGATCTCTTCGTGCGAACTGGTGCCAACTACAAGTCTCAAGACTTCCCTCAGGCACTTTGAAGGTTTGTTGGCCAGGCTTGCCACAGAGTCACCCTGTGATTTATTGCCTTGAATGGGATGGATCGAAGAGCAGAGGTTGTGGTTTGGGATCCTCTACGGAAGCTTGTGCGCTGAGCAATTCAGTACATGTATCGTTTGATTTTCACGAGCTTCCCATGCTTAGGGCTGATTATGGGGGTGGACATGGGGAAGTCCACCAAGAAACCCCTATGTCCTTGAAGGAAAGAACCGCTAAAGAAGAGACTCAATCAAACCTGAACAGTACCAATTCCGAATGCAGCATCAGAAATCCTTCCATTCTGTTTTGTTGCTTTGTGTGTTGCCCAGGAGTGTACATTGCTGCTTCGAGAGCAAGATAGAGTTCACTTGAGGGTTTGCTCCGGCCTCAACGGTCCAGCAGACTGGTTGTACATGGGTTGGAGTTGGAGGCCATCGCTAGTAGGTTGGAGGCCATTGCTAATAGGATGGAGGCCATGGCTTCTAGGCTGGAGGCCATCGCTACTACTTGTACGGGGAGCGGGCCAAAAGAAAAAACAAAGCAAAATGACACCCTTGGGGACAGGTCTGAAGATGTCAACCCTTGCTTGCTGTAAGTCTTTCTAAGTGTTTTGCACCCGAGGCGCCTACATCAATACTGCGGATACAGTAGAAGTGCCGGGTGACTGGCAGACACTTGAAATCGAGGAGGCGCCACAACTGCAAGCTGCCAGCACATGTGAAAGTTCGCATGTTCCACTGGAAGAGCCGATTCCTGCCGCGGAATCCTTTGTTCCTGCTCCATCTGAAGCCACTCGTGCTGCCGCGGCTATTGCCACTCCGCTCGAAGCACAGACCCCACAGAGTCCGAGCTCAGACAGCACTGGGTTCAGCGGTTTCTCGATGTGGACCGTGGTTCACCACGGTGGTGTACTAATCCGTGAGGCCCCAAGCCAGGAAGCTCGGACTCTTGGACACCTGGCCTTTTCGAAGCAGGTCCGTGGCAGACTTGAAAGTGCAGGACTTTGGCTACAATTGGATAGAAGCGAACTTGAAAGCAAAGAAGCTGCTTGGGTGCTTGTCGATGGTAGCGAGATTGGCTTGGGTAGGTTGCTAGAGCCGAGAGACTCCATAGATCCAGAGAATGCAGCAATGGCAACAGAAGATGACGCACACACAAAAGAAGACGAGGACAGCGCCAACGCTGAGGATCGGAAAGAGCGGTGCTTGGAGAAGGGTATTCGCACTAAAGAGACGAACGAAGAAGAGCCACAAGAGCCCAAACCGAACAAGTGCAAGTCGAAAGAATCAAACCAAAGAGAAGAGTCGAAAGAATCCAAGCAGATCATAGAGACCGAGAAAGTCAAGTCTACAAAGGTGAGCGCCATCAAGCATGCATCAACGATGGCAGAGCAAGTTGTGGAGCCTGTAGAATACTTGGTGCTTTCACCAAAATTGCCACTCTACAGCGAACCCCGTGCTGCTTCAGAACGGATAGAAGAACTTGAAAGCACAGCCTCAATTTGTGGATTCCCTGGAAACTTGTCATGGCTACGCTTAGCAAAGCAGCCTGAGAAATGGGCTCCTATCAAGTCAGCCAAAGAAGTATTCTTGAGTCCCAAATGGTCTAATCTGAAAGCAGAGAAAGTTTTCAGTGAAGCCCTTGAAGTGAGTTGGCACGGGCTCAGGGCTCGCAGTCCATACGTTGCTGCTTACAGAATCGAGTGGCGACTTACTCCTGGTGAAGAGCTTCCAATCGGACAAGACGGGGACAGCTTGAAGAAGTCAGGCTATGCTTTGAGTCTCAAACCATGTGCCTAGCTTAGCTTCTCATTCTTGATATGAGTGCTGGTGCTGTCATCCTACAATCACAGCAGGCAAGTTCATTATTTTGTTCCTGCACATCATTTCATTTCCCAGACTGAGCTATTTCAGTTCGGCGCAGCTTTTTACCCCCCTCTCCCTCTCTCGCTGTATATGTCTACATATTATTACATATTCATGACCACACGGATACCCACAGTATATAGTTTGTGGTGACATGACGGGTCCAGCAATGCCAGACTGAAAGCATTGTGGCACATTTGCATTTGGTATCATGTTTGCCTCACACACATTGGCTAAGGTGCAATTTTACATGGATTGCCAGCGGGTGCTGCAGTGCAGTTACGTGCTGGTGTGCGGGTTGCGGCTCAAAGTGCGGGTGAAGCAGATTTTAGATTGCTGGGGCCCTGGAAAGATTTTACAACGGGAAGTCCAATTCCAGAAGAAGATGAGCGAGAAACTGCTCGTAAGATCGATCCTTTCGGAGGAATGAGAGGTGGGTGTGCAAGCAGCCAGTGTCGAGGGTACGTTGCGGACCTGGATGCGATGGCATTTGTGGGTGCCAATGCCAACAATTTGGTCACAACGGCTATTTGTGTAAGGTGTGGCAAATCGTTTGAAGCACATGAGAAGGTTGATCCGCAGATGGCCAAAGCTCCAAAAAGTGTCAAGAGCACGAGCACTTTGGAAGAACAACCGAACTTCGCAAAATTCCAAGTCGATCAACATGGACCCCCCAAGACATTCGTTGTCAGCACCTTAGAGCCTTCAGCTTCGATTTGAAGGACTTTGCCCTTCCACGACCTAAGGTTCTTCACTCTATGGTCTTTGTACGAGATCGAGCTAGTGTAAAGGGGAGGACTGGTGAAGAGGTTTGGGGACAAAGGTCTTTGATTTGCCTGAGCCAAACAGTTACTGTAAACACTTTGAGGACTTTGGGAGTTGTAAAACAAGGTCACCATATCCAGGGATGGCCTATCGCAGGCACGCGCAGTTTGCGTTTTGTTATCAGAGAGAAGTGTGACATTCCAGGGTGGCTCCGGCTCAGTCCAAAGTGTGGCTTTGCAGAAGCCCCTGACAAGCCGGACTGAGTTGACGTGTGTGATGGTTTGCTTCATGCTTGGCGCTTTGCCACTTAGCAATTGGCTATTGGTGATTTGATTCAGAGGATGGGTGGGTTCTGATCCATGGTGCGGAAGTTGGGATGGAGCCTGAGCTTGAAGTTTTCAAATTGTGCAGAGCGGGTATATAACATTATATACAATAACTGTCCTTTGGCAGGTGTTAGGCAGAGACCGTTTGTCCTAAGAGTGCGTCCGGTCCGTGCCTGGAGTGTGTTTGTGGAACCAACTAGTGCACAAAGGATACAACACTTGTTCCCTTGTTTCCGCAAAATCTAAAGCCGAGCCCAAATCCATTTTGCATCAACATCTTTGTGCCTTGCGCAAAGTTGGTGCCTTCACTCTACAAGCTGCATTGTTGCTGTGTGGTTAGAACTGGCTTGTGATGTATCCCCTGTCGACCAACAAAGGTGTCAACAGGCCAGCCAAGCCATTGTAGTGCGAAGGCTGAGGCCTTTTCTGATTCTGGTGTAGCATGGTGTAGCAAAATAACATGGCCGACAGTGGCAGACATTGTAAATATCGTGGGCACGCATGTTTCGGGGTAACGTTGCTTTCCCAAATTGGCTCCGATTTTTGGTGTCGGCTTTCAGGTGCCATGCATACCTTTGTTTTCTTCGCTCCTACTTATATACTCTTATATACTCTTATATAATTAAGTAGGCCGGCGCCTACTTAATTCCTGTGAGTAAGGGAGAAGTTCGCTACTGGCTACTTCAGCTACTACATAGCTGGGGCTTCGTTGAAGAAGCGTTCGCACTATTCAGGAAAGCTCACGCAGTAAGCTCCTGCTCTGACTGTTTCCCACTACCTCGCTCTTGGGACACCCATCGCACACAGAAGCTCAGCATAGTGCTGTCAGATGTTTGCTTTGCGACCACGAAGAAGCCTTGATCTAGTGCGGGTGTGGAAACGGCCACTATACTGAAAACACTCGAGCTGGGTCTGTTTGCAGTGAATGCCAGTCTTTTTTCTTGTGAATCAACAAGGGCCATGGCATAATCACCATAAAACATCCATACATCCATCCCATCTCATCCCATCCCATCCCATCCCATCCATCCATCCATCCATCCATTTCCATCCATCCATTTCCATCCATCCATTTCCGTCCATCCATTTCCATCCATCCATTTCCATCCATCCATTTCCATCCAT